GGATTCATATACTAATTTTGATGTACATCATAGAAGCACATTCCGGAGTTTTCTGTCGTAGTTATATATGGGACAGGGTGGGACAACCACTCTAACAGACTAGATAAATACATTATTATTTTGACTCTCGTGCTTCTATCCCACTCCCTATTCTTATCACTGGTAAGGGTGATAATTATCATAAATCATACTTGTACACTAGACCGTTATAAAGCCTAATACATTGGTTGACAAGTCTTCGTTTGTTATGTAGCTGTTGATAATTATCAGTATAAAGGGTCTGTAGTGTAATAAAGTGTCAACCTTGGTCCGAATGTGGTTAAGTCCCAGTGGCCTGGCTAGGCTACTTGTATTTGATCAATTATGTAGTTAGTTGATGCTCCAGACCGTAAATAACTGTCTTTTAATTTTTATAATATTTTCTCCAATGAAGATTAACCAATAACTGTAGACACGACACAGTAAGATTGTTATACAGTGGTCGAGTACGAGGCAATTCACAACATATCACTTTCTGCAGATGCACGTTATCCTCAAAACATGTATTAACGTACATATACAAATGTTCAAATCAATGTCAACAGCACCTACATGTATGTGTAGCCCACACTATGGCATCCATTCAAATAGTAAGCCCTATATTGTGTAGGGGGAGTTGGATGGGGAGGAAATAGCCCTATATTGTGTAGGGGGAGTTGGATGGGGAGGAAATAGCCCTATATTGTGTAGGGGGAGTTGGATGGCGAGGAAATAGCCCTATATTGTGTAGGGGGAGTTGGATGGGGAGGAAATAGCCCTATATTGTGTAGGGGGAGTTGGATGGCGAGGAAATAGCCCTATATTGTGTAGGGGGAGTTGGATGGGGAGGAAATAGCCCTATATTGTGTAGGGGGAGTTGGATGGGGAGGAAATAGCCCTATATTGTGTAGGGGGAGTTGGATGGCGAGGAAATAGCCCTATATTGTGTAGGGGGAGTTGGATGGGGAGGAAATAGCCCTATATTGTGTAGGGGGAGTTGGATGGCGAGGAAATAGCCCTATATTGTGTAGGGGGAGTTGGATGGCGAGGAAATAGCCCTATATTGTGTAGGGGGAGTTGGATGGCGAGGAAATAGCCCTATATTGTGTAGGGGGAGTTGGATGGGGAGGAAATAGCCCTATATTGTGTAGGGGGAGTTGGATGGCGAGGAAATAGCCCTATATTGTGTAGGGGGAGTTGGATGGGGAGGAAATAGCCATAAATTGTGTTGGGGGAGTTGGATGGGGAGGAAATTGCCCTATATTGTGTAGGGGGAGTTTTATGGCGAGGAAATAGCCCTATATTGTGAAGGGGGAGTTGGATGGCGAGGAAATAGCCTTATATTGTGTAGGAGGAGTTGGATGGCGAGGAAATAGCCCTATATTGTGTAGTGGGATTTTTATGGCAAGGAAATAGCCCTATATTGTGAAGTGGGAGTTGGATTGCGAGGAAATAGCCCTATATTGTGTAGGGGGAGTTGGATGGGGAGTAAATAGCCATAAATTGTGTTGGGGGAGTTGGATGGGGAGGAAATTGCCCTATATTGTGTAGGGGGAGTTTTATGGCGAGGAAATAGCCCTATATTGTGAAGGGGGAGTTGGATTGCGAGGAAATAGCCCTCTATTGTGTAGGGGGAGTTGGATGGCGAGGAAATAGCTCTATATTGTGTAGGGGGATTTGGATGGCGAGGAAATAGCTCTATATTGTGTAGGGGGAGTTGGATGGCGAGAAAATAGCCATATATTGTGTAGGGGGAGTTGGATGGGGAGGAAATAGCCCTATATTGTGTAGGGGGAGTTTGATGACGAGGAAATAGCACTTTATTGTGTAGGGGGAGTTTGATGGCGAGGAAATAGATCTATATTGTGAAGGGGGAGTTGGATGGCGTGTAAATAGCCCTATATTGTGTAGGGGGAGTTGGATGACGAGAAGTTTGTCCTATATTGTGTAGGGGGAGTTTTATGGCGAGGAAATAGCCCTATATTGTGAAGGGGGAGTTGGATTGCGAGGAAATAGCCCTCTATTGTGTAGGGGGAGTTGGATGGCGAGGAAAAAGCCCTATATTGTGTAGGAGGAGTTGGATGGCGAGGAAAAAGCCCTATATTGTGTAGGAGGAGTTGGATGGCGAGGAAAAAGCCCTATATTGTGTAGGAGGAGTTGGATGGCGAGGAAATAGCCCTTTATTGTGTAAGGGGAGTTGGATGGCGAGGAAATAGCCTTATATTGTGTAGGAGGAGTTGGATGGCGAGGAAATAGCCCTTTATTGTGTAAGGGGAGTTGGATGGCGAGGAAATAGCCTTATATTGTGTAGGAGGAGTTGGATGGCGAGGAAATAGCCCTATATTGTGTAGTGGGAGTTTTATGGCAAGGAAATAGCCCTATATTGTGAAGGGGGAGTTGGATTGCGAGGAAATAGCCCTATATTGTGTAGGGGGAGTTGGATGGCGAGGAAATAGCCCTATATTGTGTAGGGGGAGTTTGCTGGCGAGGAAATAGCCCTATATTGTGTAGGAGGAGTTGGATGGCGAGGAAAAAGCCCTATATTGTGTAGGAGGAGTTGGATGGCGAGGAAATAGCCCTATATTGTGTAGGAGGAGTTGGATGGCGAGGAAAAACCCTATATTGTGTAGGAGGAGTTGGATGGCGAGAGGGGATAATAAGTCCACGATTCAGAACCGTTCATATTTCACGGTGGTACAGAGTTTTCACGATTCACGACTTTACACAGTTTCTTGGCTCGCTTGGAGTCCTCAGTCCTATTTGATAATTGTAGTCTGGATTTCTGGTCCAACAGGTACCCTTAAACCAGCAACTTAGCAGTCAGGTATTCTGGTCCAAAACAGCATATACTGCACTTTTAATGTACAACGCAGCACTATGACCTTCTGATCAAACAAGGTATTTGCTATTCTCAAACCTACAACTAACACGTCAGGCATTTTTGTCCAACAAAATCTATATTACCCCTTTGTATACTCAACAACAGTGAACCGTTACAGAATATTCAATGTTTGGAAAGGTAGCTATAGGCAGTATAGCAAAACTGGAAAAGGCAATTATTGACATTTAATGCGTATGAATGCAATATTATATTCATTCTTCTCGAAAAATTATAAATATTTACAGACGACGAAATGCTATAACTATCAGAATGCATATACTTTTAGAACTCTGATACCTGTCACAAAATAAACCCCCCAGACAAACCGGGTTGCAGAACACTTCAGGCAAAATGCCCACAGAATCGAACGTATTCATGATACAGAATAATAACGGCATCAAAGTAGCGGGCACTATATCGTGGTCACGCTCAAGCATACTGTTATACCAAACAATACCTGCTTTATTTTTACGTATCTAGTTCCATCTCAGTAGAATTAAATCGCTTCATTAGGCCGCCATATAAGGGTACATTTATTAGATGTTGTAAGTGAGATGGCTTCGTCACAGGTCATTGGCTAACTGGATCGACACGTAGTAATGTCGGCCGATAATAGGTGGAACAATAGCAATGCCCGTAAGGTTAGAGAGGGGAGGGGTACAATGTAGATAGACGTTTTAGGGATGTAGAGTAGTCGAGAGGGCTGGGGATATGTTCAGAAATCTATAGTTATCGTGAAGAGGAAGGGGAGGGATACAATTTAGCTGTAAAGCGGTGGATGTGGTGGGGGTTGCAACCAGACATGTAAGTGGAGGGAAAAAGAGATAGCAGAACGTGTTATAAAACTGTATATAAAGTGACCAAGGGGATGAGTTGGAGACATGGGGAGACACATACAATGATCAAGAAGGTACATGGAGAAGAACTGGACATGGTAGAGGATAATTCGCGATGGAAACTCTTTTGTCATAGACCTATATTCATTAGACGTATGTGAGTGGCTTGGACATTCTCTGATTTGTCCGTCTGTTAGGTACCGATGTGTCCCTCTGTTAGGTACCGATGTGTCCCTCTGATATGTACCGATATGTCCCTCTGTAAGGTACCGGTATGTCCCTCTGTAAGGTACCGATATGTCCCTCTGTTAGGTACCGGTATGTCCCTCTGTTAGGTACCGGTATGTCCCTCTGTTACATTGTAGGTACCGGTATGTCCCTCTGTAAGGTACCGGTATGTCCCTCTGTAAGGTACCGGTATGTCCATCTGTTATGTACTGGTATGTCCCTCTGTTAGGTACCGATGTGTCCCTCTGATATGTACCGATATGCCCCTCTGTAAGGTACCGGTATGTCCCTCTGTCAGGTACCGGTATGTCCCTCTGAAAGGTACCGATATGTCCCTCTGTAAGGTACCGGTATGTCCCTCTGTTAGGTACCGATGTGTCCCTCTTTTAGATACCGGTATGTCCCTCTGTTAGGTACCGGTATGTCCCTCTGTTAGGTACCGGTGTGTTCCTCTGTTAGGTACCGGTATGGCCCTATGACAAGTATTTACCCCTGTTAGGCTTGTCCCTCAGTCAGGAAAATACGATCCATCTTCATTCGTATCGTGGTTCACTATAGAACAAAGGCAGTAATTATGCTGCTATAACCTTTTTGATTAATACTGGCTGAACAAAGGTTCCGCAACATTGAATAAAACAACTAAATTTATCATAAAATGTATATAAGTCACGGCTGATCTGACCATGAAATATTGATACAGAATTCCATTAATGGTCATAAATAGGTTGCTAGGGCTAACAAAAAATACTCCGGGTAGAGATGGAGAAGCCTTGCGTTGTACACGTCATCAATGACATGAGGGAATATAAAAGCTGCTTCCCACTGTTCCAAGGAGGTAATTATATATAGCATGTAGCATGTACTCATGTTTTATGTATAAGGTAGGTGGTTAAGATTGACTGTAAACACTGACAATGCTACTGGTACACAGTACACGACAAGGTCGGACGATTACTTGACCTACTGGCACGTGACGGTTTTAGATACAGTATGATAATTACGTTGGAGGATACGACCTTGTTTAATACACAGAGAAAGCATTAATTGTAGTGAATTATCGCTATGTTTTCAAGACAGAAAGGATTCCTTGTGGTGAATACTTTCTATAATCAAAACACAGGAGAAGGGTTCCTTGTGTGAAATTGTCACTATGTTTACCACCCAGGAAAAGGTTCCTGTTTGTAAATAATCGTTATGCCAAAAACGCTGAAAAAATCGCGAAAAGCACCTAATGGACTACTACAACGTGTCCAGGACGAGGAGGAAGATGATCCGGACAGAACAAAGGTGTTCTCCCTGGACGTGCTGGTGTGGATGCTCAATCAGCGAGGTGGGGAGTGACGTAGTACATGTACTATGTAGATAGACGGGGAGGTACACATCTACCCGTACAGTTTTACTCCATTATAAATTGATAGATACATGTAAGGAAACAAAGTTCACGTTTCTTGATTTTAGTGATAAATATCTCCGCATCACAGCTATTTAAAACGATTTTTTGTCATTATCTTGTTGATTTTATTTGGCATTTTGTGGAGTATGTATAGGACGTAATAATTGTTTTAGATAATCTATTCATTGATTTTACTTTTCCTTTAAAGTTTTACATACATGTATGTAGTACTGTGAGCCTGGTTCATATTCACGATATGTCACTGCACGTGGTACGTACATCTACTATGTAGTATACTGTTGTAATACATTCGGTACTGGCTCATTATTGTGCGTGCACGTGGCACATATATGGTTTATCACTACACGTGGTACATATATGGTTGATCACTACACGTGGTACACATATGGTTTATCACTACACGTGGTACACATATGGTTTATCACTACACGTGGTACACATATGGATGATCACAACACGTGGTACATAAAGGGTTGATCACTACACGTGGTACACATATGGTTTATCACTACACGTGGTACACATATGGTTTATCACTACACGTGGTACACATATGGTTGATCACTACACGTGGGACATGCATGGTTGATCACTACACGTGCCGTATATATGGTTGATCACTACACGTAGTACATGCATGGTTAATCACTACACGTGGTACATATATATGGTTGATCACTACACGTGGTACATACATGTATATGGTTGATCACTACACGTGGTACATATATATGGTTGATCACAACACGTGGTACACATATGGTTGATCACTACACGTGGTACATATATATGGTTGATCACTACGCGTGGTACATCTATATGGTTATCACTACACGTGGTACATATATATGGTTGGTCACTACACGTGGTACATATATATGGTTATCACTATACGTGGTACATATATATGGTTGATCACTACACGTGGTACATATATGGTTGATCACTACACGTGGTACATATATGGTTGATAACTACACGTGGTATATATATGGTTGATCACTACACGTGGTACATATATATGGTTGATCACTACACGTGGTACACATATGGTTGATCACTACACGTGGTACATATATATGGTTGATCACTACACGTGGTACATATATATGGTTATCACTACACGTGGTACACATATGGTTGATCACAACACGTGATACATAAAGGGTTGATCACTACACGTGGTACATATATATGGTAGATCACTTCACGTGGTACATATGTATGGTTTGTCGCTGCACGTTGTCAGTATTTTATATATGATTTGATAATTTATAATGTTAAGATATTGACCAATTGCATATACAAGACGTATTATACATGTTTGCCAGTATGCACACACACAACGTATTATACCTGTCCAGTATCTAGTGTGTACACACAACACGTATTATACATGTATGTCTAGTGTGTACTCACAACACGTGTTATACCTGTGTGTCAAGTGTGTACACACAGCAAATGTTATACCTGTGTTTCTAATGTGTATACACAACACGTGTTATACCTGTGTGTCTAGTGTGTATACACAACACGTGTTATATATGTGTGTCTAGTGTGTATACACAACACGTGTTATATATGTGTGTCTAGTGTGTATACACATCAAGTGTTATACATTTGTTTCTAATGTGTACACACAGCAAGTGTTATATCTGTGTGTCTAGTTTGTATACACAACACGTGTTATACCTGTGTGTCTAGTGTGTATACACAACACGTGTTATATATGTGTGTCTAGTGTGTATACACAACAAGTGTTATACATTTGTTTCTAATGTGTACACACAGCAAGTGTTATATCTGTGTGTCTAGTTTGTATACACAACACGTGTTATATATGTGTGTCTAGTGTGTATACACAACAAGTGTTATACATTTGTTTCTAATGTGTACAAACAGCAAGTGTTATATCTGTATGTCTAATTTGTATACAAAACACGTGTTATACCTGTGTGTCTAGTGTGTACACCCAGCACGTGTTATACCTGTGTGTCTAGTGTGTATGCACAGCATGTGTTATTTATGTGTGTCTAGTGTGTACACACAACACGTGTTATACCTGTGTGTCTACTGTGTATGCACAGCATGTGTTATTTATGTGTGTCTAGTCTGTACACAGAGCACGTGTTATATGTATGTGTGTCTAATGTGTACACACAGCACGTGTTATATATGTGTGTCTAGTGTGTACACACAGCACGTGTTATACCTGTGTGTCTAGTGTGTACACACAGCACGTGTTATATATGTGTCTAGTGTGTACACACAGCACGTGTTATACCTGTGTGTCTCGTGTGTACACACAGCACGTGTTACATGTATATATGTGTGTCTAGTGTGTACACACAGCACGTGTTATATATGTGTGTCTACTGTGTACAGACAGCACGTGTTATACCTGTGTGTCTAGTGTGTACACACAGCACGTGTTATATATGTGTGTCTAGTGTGTACACACAGCACGTGTTATATATGTATGTCTAGTGTGTACAGACAACACGTGTTACACAAATGCTGCAGAAGTATCGAATATTTGTTTAATTTCACAGATCAGAGATTACACTTTGGGCCCCTTATGAATAAACTTTTGATTTACTCAAAATTACCTTTTAGCAGCGGAATGCCTTTGAGATATAGATATATACATAGTAATAACCTGCCTTGGCTATATAACTATGTGTTTTGTAAGTACCTGAACAGAGTTAATATTGACATTGAACATTTTTGCTACCGTTAACATCGTTTAGAGGTAGTTATTTTAACTGGTCTTATTAGGATTGCTGATCTGTTCACTACTTCCATACTGAGGGAATCGTACTACAACTACACATTCCTGTGCACTTTGCTATCTCTATATATTGCAACGTGCACATACAGATGTAGCCTATCTGTTAAAATAACGTACCAAAGTCGTAACAGACAATGTATTATGATATTTCATTCTCATTTGAATGGTTTTTACCGTTTTGATCTGAATTTCAAACTGAACTGCTGCGGCAAAGTTTAGGACAATAATGAAAGTGATAGTCTCATTTAAAACTGTTACAGACCTAGGCACAGCTAATATATATATGTAACAGGAGAGAAGCAAGAGGCCCAGAGGGCCTGTATCGCTCATATCTAAGCAATCATGGCAAAATATTCTCCAAATGAGATCCAAGGGAATATGCCAGACCCCAAGGCCAATCCTTGTAGCATATCTGTATTTGATTTTTTATGCCCAGCAATTTTATGTGTGGTTATGGGGTGGGGATCTCAACTGTTTCCAAGTTGTGAGTCAGAAACTAGGTCCCTAGAGTTGTGGCCAGATCCCAGGATCAATTCTAATATCATGACTGCATTTGTCTCTTTTTGCCCAGCATTTGTATATATAGTTTTGGGGTGGGGATCTTAACCGTTTCAAAGTTATGACCCAGGGGCTAAGTCTCCAAGGGTGGGGCCAGACCCTGCGGTCAATTCTAATATCATGACTGCATTCGTCTCTTTATGCCCAACAATTGTATATATAGTTTTGGGATTGGGATCTTAACCGATTCAAAGTTATGACCCAGGGGTTAAGTCTCCAAGGGTGGGGCCAGACCCTAGAGCCATCCTGGAAGCAAATGTGCATTCCTCTCTTTATACTCAGCAATTGTATATATGGTTATATGGTGGGGATCTGAACCATTTCCAAGTAATACATTTTTTTGGCCCCACCCCTTAGCCCGGGGGGACAGACCCACCATTTGTACAATTTTGAATCCCTGCTTCCCATGAATGCTTCCGACCAAATATGATCAATATCCATGGTAGAGTTCTACGGAAGAAGTCGTTTATAGCAATATAGCCAAATTGCCCCCTTTTGGCCCAGCCCTCAGCCCCTGGGAGGTCAGCCGCACCATTTGTACAATTTTGAATCCCCACCACCTAGGGATGCTTCCAGTCAAATATAGTTGATATCTATCTCTTAGTTCCAGAGAAGAAGTCGCTTAAAGCAATATAGCTACATAACCCTTTTTGGCCCCGCCCCTCAGCCACCACAGAGGTCAGCCACACCATTTGTACAATTTTGAATCCCTGCCTCACATTAATGCTTTTGATTAAATATGATTGATATCCATTGCATAGTTCTACAGAAGAAGACGTTTGTAGCAATATAGCCAAAATGCCCCCTTTTGGCCCCGCCCCTCAGCCCCCTGGTGGTCAGCCCAACCATTTGTACAATTTTAAATCCCCACCACCTAGGGATGCTTCCAGTCTAATGTAGTTAAATTCCAATCAGTGGTTAAGAAGAAGAAGTCGTTTAAAAGAAATTTCGGACCCGGTGAGTTAAAAATGCTCCGCCAGACCGGGGTTCGAACTCTAGACGGACGCTCAACTAATTGAGATATCTGGTCGGCGACGATCGCCCCAGTCAAGTTCCGCTACATATATATATACTTCCGGTTACAGTGTCTGTAATCTGCAAAACGCGTCCGATACCAGCTTTTCTATGGTACTTTCTCGCCGGAGAATCTTCAATAAACGTTATAAACAGGTGCTGTATGTCTTAGAATTAGAGTAAGTAAATGGAAATCAATGGACATTAAATATATGCAGTACGTACTACAATCAGGTTCATTAAGGGATTTATTTGGCATTAAACATGTGCAGTATGTTCTAGGATCAGGTTTATTAAGGGATTCATTTGGCATTAAACGTGTGCAGTTCGTACTAGGATCAGGCCCATTAAGGGATTCATTTGGTATTAAACATGTGCAGTTCGTACTAGAATCAGGTTCATTAAGGGATTCATTTGACATTAAACGTGTGCAGTTCGTACTAGGATCAGGCTCATTAAGGGATTCATTCGGCATTAAACATGTGCAGTTCGTACTAGGATCAGGTTCATTAAGGGATTCATTTGGCATTAAACATGTGCAGTTCGTACATTGTACAAGGATCAGGCCCATTAAGGGATTCATTTGGCATTAAACATGTGCAGTTCGTACTAGAATCAGGTTCATTATGGGATTCATTTGGCATTAAACATGTGCAGTTCGTACTAGGATCAGGTTCATTAAGGGATTCATTTGGCATTAAACATGTGCAATTCGT